GAGGCCAGCTATGTAAACGTAAAGGAGCATGCAGCAGAACGTTGCGAGGGCTGGCTACATTTGTGAGAAATACGAAGGACATGCGTACATAATAAACTCTATATGAAATATAACAACCCTGGATGATCCCCATGCACCGCACAACTGGCCCCGGTCCCGGCTGCTTCGCGTCGCCCTGTGCCGAGCCGATTTGGTGAAACATGCACACCTTTCAAGCTGCTGCATCCGCCACGTTGTGTGTATACGTACACATGAACGTGTACATGTATATATACGTGTGCAAAACTGAAGACGTGCATTTGCGTGTATACATATACATGTGGGATTGTGTGTGCAAAAAATGCATGTATGCACGCATATCTGCCCGGAGCAGCAGCCGAAAGCCTGGACTATAAGGAGAGACATGTTGGCGATGAGATCAGTGATCAAAAACTGCTTTGCTGCCAAACCTTATGCCAAACCTTCTCGGCTATATGGTTGAATCCTTAAAGCTCCAAAACCCTTACTGTAAATCCTATATATATATATATATATACTGTAAACCCTGAACCCCTGAATGCTGAACCCGGTATATACCCCCAGCCCTCATTCCGGCTGAAACTCATCGCCTCAGCTAGCCAGGCACGCGCACGCAGCTGCCCTCGAAGCACGCACACCATGCTTCACGTGTCCACATTACGTGTGTTACATAGTGTGCAAATGTGTGCACGATGCATGCCTCCATATACAGCGCTGTGGCGCCCTCGGCCTTCACTAAAAGGAGAGACATGTTGGCGATGGGATCAAAATATGCCAAACCGGATCGGCTGTGGTTTGACTCCTATCAACCCCGAACCCTTTAATCGAAAACCCCGCTACCCCTGATATGGTTGAAACCCATCGCCTCAGCTAGGAAGGCACGAAGCTCGTATGCAGAAGCAGAACATAGCCGTATATGTTTGTCCCGCTTCAGCACATTCCATGATTCGGATGCCGGCACTTTCCGCGAAGGGAGACATGTTGGCGATCCGAAACGTGCCACCGTGCAAGGTAGCAGCCTATGTAGTTGTATCGTGTAGATAATGGGCGTAGAGTAGTATATAGGGTAGTATATAGTGTGGTTGTATGTTGTATTGTATATAGTATAGTAGTATATAGTATAGCATATAGTATAGAGTATAGTAGAGTATACAGTTGAGTATATGATAGTAATCTAGTAGTATAGTACTATATAGGCTATTCAAACATATGATAGTAAAAAACATATAGTGTTGAAAGCTATATAGTCCTGGAGTGGTACGGTATATAGTAGTCCGGTATTACAAATAGTATAGTAATATAGTGTAGTACATCTATATGGTATATAGTCTATATGTTCTATACCCTGCAGGCTACTATACCCATATGAATGTTTGCCCGCTTCGGATTGCCTCAGGTGCACGGAAAGCACAAATTTGCGAAGCTTTCCAGGCCAAGGAATGGCACAAATGGCGGAAGTGATTCAGCCCTCACCCCTATGTCGGATTTTCTACGCTGAACTTGGAACCTGGATTTAGGCTGCATATGTTTGAAAACAACACACAACATCCCATGAACTACCCCACATGGCTCTTGTGGATTACTTCCGCCATTCGCGCCATTCCTGTGACCGCACTCTCGAGCACTGCGCGGCGGTCGCGAGACTGTTTTTTTGCTTGTTCCTTGCGACCGCCGCGTGTCCGCGGCTTCTCCCGCCCGTGGCCCGGCCTCGGTGGGTTTACATGGGGGTTGTATACGTTATGAAGTAACATTGAACAGTTTTACACCTATCAACACATATGCTATTTCTACAACTCACCTTGCGAATATATGGAGGCAAATACACATTCGGCACACGAGTACATAGTATAGTATATCCAGAAGCTATATATAGTATGCAGGTATATAGACGTACATATATATGTATGTATATACATGTATACATATAGTGAGTGTATAAAATAGAATAAACAATTTATACTGAAACCAGACGCCTGCATGGCCCATGTCCTGAATCTGAACTCCGAAGATTGCAAGCGGTCAGCCCAAGACGTTTATTGCGTTTATATACGTGTAAAGATATATAATGTGATGTTCAGATACATATCTATGTATGTACATATCTTCCTGTATATCTAGCTATTGAGACTTAACTAGAATGACAAAGCTTCCAAAAACATACATGTATAGAAACACACCTCCTTATAGGGAAAACAAGGGTAACCTGAGTAACACTCCAAAAGACGGGCAACCACATCTCCTATATTGCAGTGTACTATATACATATATATATATATATAAACATATACATATATATATATATGTTTCATCTAATGTTTTTACATAAGCATCACCCGTAGGAAACTGCCGCGAAGCAACGGGTGGTACAGGCCGTCAGCATCCACGAAGCCAGCACCGTTGGGCAGATAGTAGCCTCCCCACGACGAGGAGGAGGAGCAGCTTCCGCTGGCATGGCCACCCCTGAGCTGTCGTGTTTGATTGTTTTGTTTTAGTATCGTGAGGACACGTAAATATATATATATATATACATATATATATACATACATAAGCACACATATAAAGTTATATTTATATATGTGTATACATATATGCATTTTTTTGCAAAGATATAGTGCTGGTTCTCTATGTAAACCAAGCTGTTTGCGGCAGAATGTGTCTTTGTAGCTACGTGTTAACTGTTACATATTATATAGTTGCCTATACCAGCTTCACCCCTTGATAGGTTACATGGTACTTGCAAAAGTGTGAAGTGAAGCTAGATCGTGAAGTACGATGAATATTCCAACTGTAAAGACGTGTGTAGCGCTCTCTAGACCATAAGCTATAGGTTATAGGACACAGAGTTGTTGTTTATAGAGTTTCTATGCAAGAAAGTACAATAAACACACGCACAAGGTTGGATGGCCTTCTATATACAAAAAATGAACCATACATACAGTTGTAAGTGCTAGAAAAGGGCAAGTGATATAGGTTAATAATTACCTATATTTTCGGGGTTCCCTAGTATACTTATCGTATAATGAGACCTGGTTCGAAAAAGGTCACAAAGATTATTGGACATACTGAGTTTTTCAAACAGTCGCCTCGTGCATGCAGCGGCATCCACCTCCAGCTTGCCACCCCATCCATATGGTTCCGTCTTCACCTTCTTCCACGGCTGCTGCGGATACTTGTACTTTGCCTTTCCCCTGTGGCTCCATGCCTGGGCATTGTCCCACCAGGCCTGCGGTTTAGGGATTTGGGTTCAGGGTTTAGGTTTAGGGCTTCTATATAGGGTTAAGGGATTTGGGTTTAGGGTTTATAAGGGTTATAGTAGGGCTTTCGGCGACCTTGGTTTTCCAGTCGTAGACGCCCTCCTCCTTTGTCCAATCATCTTCCTTCCATACAGGGCTGCGGTTTAGGGATTTGGGTTCAGGGTTTAGGGTTTAGGGTTTCTATATATAGGGTTAAGGGATTTGGGTTTGGGGTTTGGGTGTTATAGTAGGGCCCTCGGCGACCTCGGTTTTCCAGTCGTCGGTGTCCTCCTCCTTTTTCCAATCGACCTCTTCCTTCCACTCGCTCTTGCCACCCCACCATCCATCATCGCCCTGCGGAGGACAAGCATGCTTCTCTCAAAAGCTTGATATAGATACTTATAGGGTTTAGGGTTTTGGGTTTAGGGTTTAGGCTGATACCTGTCAAGTTCCTGATTTAGTCCGGGGCCTCATCACCTTCGAAAGCTTCGATTCGCACATCCACGAGGCCGTAGCCAGGGCCATCCTCGGATGGCTCCTCCTCGTCCTTGGCCGCCATGCCTCTGGATGCCCTTAAAACTGATTGTTTTGCAGCATGGACATGTGCGCCTGCTGGCTTTCTCTACATCAAAACTGCATGTTGCTGTGCTGCAAGTGCATGCTGCCGAACTTCATGCCTGCAAGTGGCGTCCCTGCGTGTCCTAGCTGCCTGTCGCATGTTGCAACATGCCCTGCATCGAAGCGGCGGGGGAATGCATCCAAATCACAAGGCACTTAACATGTTCAACGCAGACAGCATGCAGCCACCGTGGTCAAAGAAGAACATGCAGCACAGACACGCGCCCCTGCATGGTGACTTGCAAGCATGCATGGGATGCACCACCAATCAACACGTGTCTATACTTTATATAGACGATTTCATCAAACGGAACAAACGTCTCGATGAACATGTTACAACCGCAGCCTTTCAGGAATGTGCCCATGCAGGACCCTTGCCGAGAATAGATGTAGATAGCTACATAGCTACGTAGATATAGACATATACAGCAACAAGCAGCCGGCTTCCATATAATATAATATAATATAATATAATATAATATAATATAATATAATCTATAATCTAATCTAATATAATATAATACAATATAGTATAATACAATATAATATAATATAATGTAATATAATGTAATATAATATAATATAATATAATATAATATAATATAATATAATATAATATAATATAATATAATGTTATATAATATAATATAGTATAATATAATAAATATATATATATATATATATATATATATATATGTACCCCACTCCCAACCCTAAATCCCCAAATCCCCACTCCCCCAACCCTAAAACCCCACCCGCCCAACCCTCAAACCCCACTCCCCCAACCCGAAAACCACTCCCCATGCCAAAGGCGCACATGGCACTTTGCCAAACCGCTTCAATCCTCTCCGTCCTGTCCTAAAAAATCGCGGGCGAGACTACGTCCCTGCCCGACGTCATGGCGAGCCCACATGCCCTGCCAGACGAATCTTGTACAAAGTCCCTGCATGCTCCACAGCGGGACTGTCGTGACTTGAAACTATTCAGCCTACGATGTTTTGGATGGCTTCTTCTACTGATACATCGGCTGCTGCGTCAGCCTCACGAGCTGCATCTCCATCTTCAAGGGCTTCGGCTTCGGGATCCTGGCTTATAAAGAACAATTGAATGTAGGATGTTTATGAACTACATCTACAAGACCAAATCCAGTATCAGGAGTGGCGGGGGAGGTGTAAAAGTGATATCCTCCTGGCTTGCGGCAGCCTTGCGTTTGCGAGAGCGTCGACTCTTCTTCTTGGGCGACTTCTTCGATTTCTTCACCATTTGTTTTTCTGCCTCCCCTCGAAGCTTCAATCGGCGGCGGCTCGGAGCACCTTCATCCGCTAGATAATCCACCAGCCCTCGCCGCATGAACAGTGCCAAGTACTGCAAGTTCTCTTCCAAAAGCTCGATCCATATCACCTTATACAGATATTTGCCCTCAGAACGACAATCATGAGACTAACACCAGTATACAGAATCGTCCCCTGCAGGCTTTGTTATTAGAACCATACAAACCTCCAACATTGTTTCTCTTAGCACTAAAGACACGGGGTCTCTGACGGACCAGAGTGCGGCAATCTCTCTCGCTTCCATGGACTCGCCGTTGCAAGCGATCGCTGGGCATCGCATGTGCACCACCCGCCCTGCCACGTAGAGGTCCTCTTCTCGCGCCGTCTTCTCCTCTGGCGCTGCATCCCCGGCCACAAAGCTGCCTCTTTGATCATGGCATTGTACAGGCGGTCGCAAGCCTGCCGGCGAAACTCGAGAAAGTCCCCAAAGGCTGGGATGCTCAGGTGGTGTGGATCCTGGCTTCCCCAAACACGTGACGCACAGATGTAGTACCAAAACAAACGTTTATGGCTGTGTCTTTTCAACAGGTTACCTGTATTTCTTTTGGTGCGCCCATGCAGAGGAATTGATCATCCAACAAGTATAAGCATCTCTACAGAGAGTGTGGGTTGGGCACACCCGACTATGCAGATATACATGTTAACATTGTTTCATATATAAAAGGCACAGACCCGTGGTCCATGCTGCAGAAAGACCTCGAAGTTAGAAACCAACTTCCCCGGCTGTTCAATACCGCCCACTTGCAGAACTGGCTAGCCTGTGTTGCGCATTCGTATGAGCAGATTCCCAGCAGCCAGCGTGAGGATAATAAGACTGAAAGGGCCTTACTGCACCCCGTCAACAGTGTCCATCACTTTCGTGCAGTGTGCTGTCCTGTGTGTGGCATAGAGTTTGCTTCACTGTACACGATGAAGACACACGTCACAAAGGAGCACATGAGGAACAAAGGGGAGGTGGAGCTCGACCCTCTGCAAGAGCTGATCCTTGACATGTATTCTGATGTTACGCAGCGAACGACAGTTCATACGGTCATGCCCAGCTCCCTGCAGGGAACTGATGATCACACCCAATTTGTTTACATGCATGCCCTTGGAGGTATGTCAACTTGTGTCCATTGTCGCAGGCAGTGCAAAACGTGGCAGGATCTTAATCTGCACATTACTTCACGCTCGTGTAGAGCATTGTTTCCTGATGGTCTCACTATCCAAGTCCCTACTCAAAATCCTAACTCTGTCCCTGCTGCCTATGATACGGCATGCCTCCAAAAGTTTCGACATGGTTGGGAGCTTGGTGCCAAATGGATTGCTTCACAGGGTGAAAAGTGGCTACATCATTGCCCGTGGTGTACGCAGTGGATTGTAGACACGAAGGCATTGCACATTCACATATCTGCTAAGCATCCTTGGCTGGAAAAGTGTTTTATGCAGGCCAAGTTGTGGCAGTTTCAGCAGCGGAAGGCCTTAGTCCTGTGTTCCCCCTGTCGCTACTGCTGCAGAGCCTACAGAGGCCATTCAACTCGGCATGCCACGGAGTGTAAATCCATACTATTTGCACGTATGCTGACGACGCAGCAGCATGATGCCATCACCTGTTCTGCCCAGGCGCATGACGCTCAGCCCCGAAGAGCAGGCGAAGCAGGACCTTGCGGAGGCCACCATGGAGCTGAGCATGCTCGCGTCCAACCTACGTCAGAGTGGGGGCTTGCAGAGCAGCCTTCTGGGAACCCAGTTGGGCTTCACAGGTACTGGCCAAGAAGCCGAGGAGCGCCCAGCGAAGTACTCCAAAGACTTGAACAAAGGTCCGGCTGGGAAGGGCAGAGGAGCGAATGGCGGGCTGAAGCGCCATTACCAGCCTCGCGGAAATCAGGCAGCACGGGAGACAGGAACATCCTCCACTGGCTTGGTGCTGTCCCCAGAGACCATCCAGATGCTCATCAAGTTGCTGCTCCGCCACGAGGACCAGTTGGCCACGTTCAGGTTGTCGACAGCATGGGTGTTCTTCCTCTCGGCAGAGAAGCCGGTGGAGATCCTCGAGACGCTCTTCGCAACTGCGACGCAGTGGCGCCATCAGAAGCTCAACGATCCGGCCTCTTTGAAGAACCCGATGAGAGTGATACTCTTTCAGGCTACCTGGAAGGAGATGTACACGCGCGCAGAGAACATTCGCACCAAGGAGGACGCCAAGCAGACGGCCGTAGACATGGGCATCTACGACGAGGCCAAGGGCTTCCCGTACCAGATCTGGAACCCCAAGGAACGGAAAGCTCAGACCGACGAGACCAGGGACCCGCTGCCGCTGGACAAGGTGCTGGCGCTGACGGCCGAGTTGATGAAGCTGGCGGCGGGCAATGGCGTCATCACGCGGTACCACTGCACGCGCCCCCTGACGGAGGAGATGAAGGGCACCATGACCACGTGGCTCATGGAAGTGGGATTGCGAGATGCCAGATGCAATCGCATTTGGGAGATCTTGTCCATCCTGAAGGGCAATGCATCGATGAAGCTGATTGGAGGGGCCGTCCGCGAGGAGCGTCTCCAGCGCACGCCACTCGCCCAGACGCTTGCGCAGCAGCTGACGAGGCAGCACGAAAGCGTTTGTTGCAACTAAGGCTGCATAACCCCTCCAATTTCTGCTATTCCCACTCCTGTCTTCTTGCATACCTGTGGACGGCCACTGCTGTTGCACCCATTCAGCAGGCAGTGATGCATCAGGCTGTCCTTCAGCTGATACAGGCCGCTCTGTCCTCCGTTCGGCCTGTTCACCTGTGGAGTCATATCCAGTGGCGACAGGCCTTCAGGGCCTGGTCGGCACCGAGCAGGCAGCACGATGCTGCTGACTTCTTGCTCATGCTGAATGATCAAGCATTTTGGGTTCCCCCAACTCGTTTGTCCCTCTGCTTGAACCTGGGCGGGTGGCTGGGGGAAAAACGCCGTGCAATTGGTTTTCTCTTGAAAGTTCACATGCTTGGTTCTCTTGAACTGCACTTGCATTGTCTCGGTTGATGCGACATTCCTTTTGGAGATTGCTGAAACTCCTTGTGCCGTCGCGGCCATTCTGGCGCGAGAAAATTTTTGGTGGGACGGGGAGTGTAGACCTACGGCTCGGGTAGTCCCATGGCATTTTGCCGTAGCTGGGCCAATGGAAGCAGGAGGCCTTGCTGAGAGACTGCGAGCTGTGGATGCTGATTTTGCGAGTGAAGTTTGTCAGCTTTACAATTCCCCTCAGCAGTGGGACGCTGCATTCGATGATGAGGCCGGAGCTCACAGTTTTGTTGAGGAGTTCCTTGGTAGTAAGCGGACACCTGCTGAGATTCAAAGGATTGCTAACGACGTCTGGAGGTTGAAGCAGAGGAGAGACAAACGCACCCCTTCTTCAGTTGAAGTACTGCAGAGGCGAATTCTGGAGTTACCTGCAAAGATCCCTCGTGTTGGGAGGCCTATTTCAGAGCATTTTGAAGACATTGTCTGTCACACACCAGCTGTGGTACTTTCGCAGCTCCAGCGGGCCGTGCGGAATAGCAAGGCCGCTGGCAGTCGGGAAGACATTGAGGCGAGGATTCGGGAGCGATGGTCCTTTGTTCTGGTTTCTTTTATTCAGGAGGCAAAGCTCCCTTGCGCGGAGCGATTAGCAAGTCTTGGAGACAGTAAGCAAGCTTGGCTGCGGATCTTCGGGAGTCGTAGGGGGAAAACTCTGCGGAACAGGGCAAGGTCGTGGAAACCTTTCCGGGATTGGCTTCACACTTCTTACGGGCTACTTTGGCCTGTTGACTCTGGGCAATTCTTGAAGTATTTGGAGGAGCGCCATGCTGCATCCCCCTTGGGGAAGACCGTGCCGAAGTCTTTGCTGTCAAGTCTTTCCTTGCTCGAGTGCCTGGGTATGGTGCCAAATGAGAAGAGACTGAGCGAGGATCAGATTGTTCTTGAGAGTGTCAAGTCTTGGACTTGCGAGTTGGAGAGTGGGGCTGCACCGGTCAAAGTGGCACCGCTTTACAGCATCTCAGTGATCATTGCTTGTGAGATGGTAGTCTGCAGGCCTACATACCCAATGGGGATGAGGTACACTGCGTTTGTGCTCCTTGTCATGATTTGGGCAAGCTTGAGGGCAGATGATACGCAGAACATCGACCCTGCGTCGGTCAAGCTGAGCCAGATCGGCCTTCGGCTATTGCTGCGGCGCACTAAGACAAGTGGGCCAGGGCGAAAGGTTGGCGAGCTACATGGATTTGTCTCCCGGGTGGTAGGATTGAGTGGATTTGACTGGCTCAACGAAGGCTTCAAACTACACACACATGCAGAGCTTTCTTGGACACGTGATTTCCTCTGCCCGGCGTTTTCGAGTGACTGGGAGAACGTCTCTAAGGATTACTTGGATGCAGAGGGCTTGTCTTTGCAGCTCAGGCGACTTCTTCAAGAACTTCCTACACCAGTTCGGCAAGGAGGAGTTTGGAAGGTCTCGCGTGTGCCGTTGCTGCCTGGGGGTTTGTGCAACTTCTGGACAGGACATAGTGCGAGGCACACACTTCCAAGCATTGCAGCTGCGCTAGGGATTGACAAGTTCAAAAGGGATTTCCTTGGACGGTGGGCTTACGCCCAGCACGGATCTCAGGATTATGTGCTGACTTCCCGGCAGGTGGTGCAAGGAGTACAGAATCATGTTTGCAAAGGCTTGATCATCGGCAGCGATTCAGGTGGATACATGGAAGAGGAGCACTTCGTTGCTGTCAGGGCCTTTGCTGTGAGCTTGGGTTTAGATGCAGATGCAGTGATTGGAGCGAACACCATGCTCCAATGGGATGATGCTGGGCGGACATGGAAGCTAGGAGGTGTTTTTCCCTGCTTCAGTGTGGGGCCTGAGCTCGTGAGTGCTTCAGCCGGGAACATCAATGCATCACCGCCCGGACCTTACCGGGACTTCGAAGAAGGAGATGACCAGGATGAAGCCCCGTACTTTATCACTGTTTCGAGGAGGGGATATCGCAGGCTTCATGTCTCCAAGTCGTGTGCAGTTCGGCGTGAACGCTGCTTGGAGACGATCCCCGTTTATGCGTTGGCTGAAGGGATAGCCGATGCCATGTGCAAAATTTGCAAGCCTAGAGAGAGTCTTGCAGAGGCGTCCTCTAGCAGTGGGTCTGATGATACGGCCTCGGAGGGAGGGCCGGAGGCGCCCACGGGCCTTGGATAGGAGCTCTGACATCAAACAGCTGCTGAGCTTGAAGTGCACAAAAGATCCCCCTTGTCTGAGATCTTTGAGTGGCACATGAGAAAGGTGTGATGCCGGAAGGAGAGCATCAGAGTACGTACACCCTAGGTGGATCGATGCTGGATGGAACGCATCGTGAAATTTCGAACTTTGCCAGGAGGAGGGCATCGTTCTTAATAGACAACCTGTGACAGCGGCACGGAAGGAATGTGCCTGGGAGCTTGATCCGAATTGCCCTGCTTAGTGCCGGCTGGAGTGCAACCGTGTTCTTTTGTGATGTGCTACGTTTCGGGCATGGCCAGGAGGCGCTGGCTCTAAGGGGAGCTCTCTTCGCTTCTAGTAGGACGGGCTGCAATGGCTGCAGATTTACCGGCAGGGGTCACGGAGCAAGTTGCGCTGGATTTTCTAGACAAGGAGGTGACTGCCGACCTCGTGCACATTTTTCAAGAGTGTGGGGTACCTCTCGGCTTGCAATACAAGCTAGCACAGAATTTCAGGTCAGTGAAGAGGTTCTCGACTTACGCTGATTCCCGCGCTGAAGTTCGCACTGCCTTGAAGGATGATCATACATTGGAGGCCACCAACCAAGGCACTCGCGCCACCATCGCAGCGGTGGTATCGGCCTGGGAGACGGCGAAGGAGTTCGCTTCGAAGGAGTCAGAACTCCGTGCGGAAGCTCGGATGCTTGGCGTGAGTCGTCCAGTGACACAAACCGAAAAGCAGGCGATGAGATTGGCGTTCGAGGCTGCCCATGGACAGCTGGAAGAAGCCTTCGAGCCCTCAGATGATTACATTTCAGCGAAGCTTGAAGAGGTCGAGAATGGGGAACTCACCGCCAGCGCTCTTTCGGAGGTGACTTCGAAGAAGCGTGTTCGCACCATGGGGATCCAGACAACAGTGGACTCAGGTGGGCATGTTCGTATCGTAAAGCAACGGAACAAAGGGGTCATGCCAACACACACTGAAGAGTTGAGGACGGTCCTCCGAGTGGAGGGGAACATGTGGACATTCTTGGCATCAAAGTACAAGAACAAGGTCTTCTTTCAGAACATGGGGCCAGATGCTTGGTCGAGCTTTGTCAACTACCTCCTCGGCGAGAAGGTCTATCTTATGCAAGTCCCAGTGAACAATGGAAAGGGGAATGGAAAGATGGATCAAACACCTTTGCGACCACCTTGGGTGGTCCTTCTCAACTATGAGTACGAACTCAGGAAGGAGGCGGTGAAACGTGCATTTCGTGATTCCAGGCCCCTCCGCGATTGCTTGAAAGAGGTCACAGAGGACTCGCAGCTTAAGGAGCAGTTCTTCACATCGCCCATTGCGTTGCAGAGCAGAGGAAAGCGCGCAGGTGATCCTTGGGAGACTGGAAGCGAATCCAAGTGGTTCAAGGACACATGGCAGGGGAAGAATCAAAACTTCGGGAAGACCGGGGACAAGAACAACAAAGGGAAGAAGGGCAAGGAAAATGGAAAGAAAGGCAAGGACGGAAAAGGAAAGCGAGAGAGCTCAACAACGACTCGGACACCGGACGGCCGGTGGATTTGCTTCGATTACTCTGGACCAGGGTGTGATGGCAATTGCGGCATGGTACATTGCTGCATGGTCAAGGGATGTCATGGGCCCCATCCCACTTGGCAGCACTGGCAGCAGCATCACGCTTCCGGTAAGAAGACCGACGAGCAGAAAAACTGACTAAAGGTCTTGGTTGTTTCACTTGACATGGGCATCGACAGTGACTTACACGGCTGCCTACAGAATTTGTCAATGCGCTTGGGAAGCCAGCTGGAGGCCGACTTCTTGACTCAGGACGGATCTCATTTCGGGACTTGGTCTAAGGCCGCTTCCTGGGATGACGTCTTCACTGGGATTCGCTTGGGATCCTGGGATGCCATTTTCATGTTTCCACCATGCAGTACCTTCAGTCGTGCAAGGCATCGGCTGAATTCACAGCGCTCAGGGCCGGTCCCTGTGCGGTCGTCTTCTTTTCCTTTTGGGTTTCCTTGGTTAGCTGATAGGTTCCGCCTTGACGTTGATCTTGAGAACTACATTTGCAAACAGTGCATCAGCGCAGCAACGTTGTGCAATCAACATAACACAGGATGGATTCTGATCCACCCAGAGGACCTAGGGAAGCTTCGTTGCGGCGGCGACCCCGCGAGTTTATGGCAGTGGGCTGAGGTCAGAGCTTGCTGTGATGCGTCAGCTACCTGCTCCACTTGGGCAGTGCACTTGTGCTCATATGGTTCAGACAATGCACATCCAACACGCGTTGCAACCAACATGTCAGGTGCACCAGCTAGCATCGCTTGGCCATCTTTTGATGATCAAGGCTTTTATGTCGGGCCCCTGACTCGGTGCTCACATCAACATAAGGCTGGTGCAGGTCGAGAACAACACAAGTGGGCCACATCGGTGGCCTTCCCGCATGCATTTCTGGAACATGTGGCTGCTCTCTCTGAGGGCTTCCTTCGCAACTTTCGGGCCACTGATTCTTCTTTTCAGGGTGCAGAACATTTCGCAGATTGCTTGTTGAAGCAGGGACGGCAGCTTGAACCCCACGATGGCGAAGCACTTGCTCGCCTTGTCCCATTTGAGGCACCTCACCCCGCAGCGTCCACTCCTCAGATTTCTAGTGAAACGCCAGGGCGTGCTTTCTTTGGCGGAGCATATTGCAAGGGCGGCCTCACGGGCCTCCGTCGCAGTTGCAGTGATTACCCTTTGACTCTTCGATGTCTTACGGCCCTCATTCGCCAGGCATTCCCCGGTGAGGTCTTTTCTTCACTAGCTGTTTTCCACAACCATTGTGCGCCAATGCATAAAGACTGCCATAACGCACCTTTCGACAATCTGCTTGTTGCACTTTCGAAGTTTACAGGCGGCGAGGTTTGGTGCGAACGGTCGTCCGGAGATGTCCTTAGGTTGGTCAAGGGTGTCTCTCGACCTGGCGTTTTGCTTGATGTTGCAACTTCTCCACAAAGATTGCCTGCCCACACCGCCTTCCATTGCACGGAACCTTGGCAAGGTGACAGGCTGCTCTTGGTTGGATTCTCCGTGCATACATCCAGCTTATCTGCAAGCCGCCGCAGTACCTTATGCGAGCTTGGTTTCATTCTGCCGCCATCAGCGCTCTTGCTGTCGCAGCGGGGGGAAGAGATCACCGACGGCGGCATTGTGGATTTAACCCAGGAGGATCCCACTGTTAGCACCCCCCCAACAACAGCCGTTGCTGGGGGCCCCGTTCTTTGTAGCACCCCTCAGGAAGGGACCACTCCTGAGGCCTCCTCTAGCACCCCTGTTGGAGGGACCATCCAACAGGCACCTGGTAACGACAACCAACAAGACGAGGAGGAGGAGGAGGATCATGACAGTTCTGCATTTGATCCGGCTACAAGCAGATGTCGCGGCCCCGCAATCAAGTGTAGGCATTCAGCTTCATGGAGGGAACTCATTGACGGGTTCGGTCTGTGCTCGCCAGGAAGGTGGAGACCCATCGCACGCAACGCCTTATCGAGCTCAGCCGAATGGAACCATGCTGCTTCGGTACGGGACATCCTTGCTGCAGCTGTTCGTTCTAGTATCCCCGATTTGCGAAAAGCATCGTTTCTTCTTGCGACGGGCCGTTTGCCCAATTCACCGTTTCAGCAGTCGCTCGTGAACCAGGTGCGCACGGACATTTCAAAGCTTCTTCCAGACAGTGAGCTGGCAATGCAGGTTCCGAAGGGGCAGCCTTTCTCGCTCCACCTCCTCTCTCAATCACTTGAGATCCTCGGCGACCCGGACTTCGCAATCTTAGATCAGGGACCCGAGTCATTTGCCGAGGGAGTTCCATTAGGATGGGATAAGCCCCTCCCCCGTGTTCCTCAGGTGTTTCCCAGGCGCACCGTCTTCCGTAAGTTGGACGCTTCCGAGTTTGATCCTTCTATGGTTAACTACAAATCTGCCGAGCTTAACTCTGAACAGCTTGAAAAGAAATTCCGGGAAGACGAGCTTGCAGGCCTCATGATCTGCACAACTGAGGCAGAGGCCAAAAGGGAGTTTGGTGAAGATGCAGTTTTGATTGCCGCTATGGGAGCGGTGACAAAGGCGAACGGGGACGTGAGGCCGCTTCACGACGGAACTCACGGAATCAACCTTAACAACAAGATTGTCATTAATGATAAGCTTCAAGTACCAGGGCCCGAGGATTTGCAGGAAGTGGCAGCGCGGGTGAAGGAAGGGAAGGAGGCCCCTTTCTCGCTTTGCGCGGACATCAGCCAGGCACACAGGCGAGCCAAAGTACGTCGTTGTGACTGGCCTCGCATGTCATGCAAATCTTCCAGCTCATCAAGGGTCTTATGGTTAAATTGCGTAGGGACTTTCGGAATTAGTTCTGCGGCTTATCATTGGGCACGCCTCTTCGGAGCAGTCGGCAGGTGGGCATTTCGCATTTTGCATCTTGACAAATTCTACATGCTCATATACGTTGATGACCTCCATGTCATCGTGTATGGAAGCGAGAAGTACGAGACGCTTTGGGTTTTGTTTCTTGCTTTGGAGGTTGTAGGGACGCCTTTCTCCTTTCACAAGTTTAAAGGTGGTGTTGAAGTTGACTACATTGGATACCACATTAGCTACTACACGTGGTCAGCTGGGATCTCCGCAAAGCGTGCGGGCTGGATCATCGAGTGGGTCGATCAGGTGGAATCCAACAACTGGATGACTTCTGGGAGGCAGCTTGTGGAGTTCGTGGGACGGCTCAACTTCGTCACTCGGATGATCACTTGGCTTAAGCCCTTCCTCGCACCACTTTACGCTTGGAGCTCAGTGCTCAGCAGAGGGACCGTCGCGACGGCACCAGACATGGTTGTTCTTGTCTTGAGGTTCTTTCGGAGCCAGTTTGAGGCGGGAGCGCGGTTGGACTCTGTCCACATGTCCTGGCCCGGCCAGTACCGTCAAGCCTTCCGCACTGACGCGAAATGTGAATCAGGTCGCATTGTCTTAGGCGGGTGGTCACTCGAGTCTGGCAGTGACCCTCGGTCGGCCAAATGGTTCTCGCTTGAAGTTCATCCTGCCGAGCTGCCGTCTTTCTTCAAGCCAGACGGGTCTTGCGAGTGGGCCTCTACAGCTGCAGAGCTTCTTGCATCATACGCCGGACTTGTTGCTTTTGGGCATACGCGTGTTGCCAGCGGCAGGGATTCATTGAAGCTTCAGGTTTGTGCTGGCACGGACAACCGTGCCACACCTGCGATTACTTCCCGAGGCATCTCCAACAAGTGGCCTGTCCAGGCTGTCCACATGCAGGTGTCTGTCACGTTGCGCCGCGCAAACCGGATTTGCAAGTTGGAGTGGCGCCCCAGGGAAGAGAATCAAGATGCTGATGATCTTACGAACTCGCGGTTTGATAACTTTGATCTAAGTAAGAGGGTCCCCTTGGTTTTCAGTGATTTGCCTCTGGACATCTTCTCAGAGCTCCAGGCAAGTCACAGTTCATTCCTTGCGGACAAGGCAGCCCGCTTGCTGCACAAAAGGAGTGAGCCTAAAGCGAGTAAAAGACAGAAGCTTCTTGAGAAGACATCTTGGTGAAACCTTGGCACCCCTGGCGAGCACCCCTAAAGGAGGGGACACTGGTGCTCACCGAAAGGTGATGGTCGTAAGCACCACCTGGTGCCTTCTCCTTCTGGCCGGTAGGCAGAGTCGAGCGGAATCCAAGACAAGAGTGACCCAACACACGCCTTTGTAAAAAGAAGGCATCTGTCCGAGCTGTTGCACGCGGTCACGTCAGTTTGAGTGGCTTCAAGGATCTTTGCTCCTAAAACTTTTGGTGGAGTTTTCCCTAAGTGCCCCTGCCTGTTCCCTAAAGTCCGCTGCCTTTTGGTTCAAGCTTTGGGACAAGCATTTTGGGTTCCCCCAACTCGTTTGTCCCTCTGCTTGAACCTGGGCGGGTGGCTGGGGGAAAAACGCCGTGCAATTGGTTTTCTCTTGAAAGTTCACATGCTTGGTTCTCTTGAACTGCACTTGCATTGTCTCGGTTGATGCGACATTCCTTTTGGAGATTGCTGAAACTCCTTGTGCCGTCGCGGCCATTCTGGCGCGAGAAAATTTTTGGTGCCCGCCCTCTCCGCCCTAATGACCGGATGCCCGTGTCTCTTCCCGGTCCATAATCATTCTCCTAAGTGTCACTGGCATGATTTGCTCCTCACAGCAGGGGGGACACTGGTGCTCACCGAAAGGTGATGGTCGTAAGCACCACCTGGTGCCTTCTCCTTCTGGCCGGTAGGCAGAGTCGAGCGGAATCCAAGACAAGAGTGACCCAACACACGCCTTTGTAAAAAGAAGGCATCTGTCCGAGCTGTTGCACGCGGTCACGTCAGTTTGAGTGGCTTCAAGGATCTTTGCTCCTAAAACTTTTGGTGGAGTTTTCCCTAAGTGCCCCTGCCTGTTCCCTAAAGTCCGCTGCCTTTTGGTTCAAGCTTTGGGACAACTAAAGGCGGGTTGTTTTCGTAAGGATTGGCTTGCTTTTCACCGGGAGCATGGAGGGTGTGTCGATGCAGGCACCTCTTGCCCGCTCGCGCTCACAGCTGTGCAAGTAACCGCCTCAGACACTGCAGGCAGCCGCCTGGGTGCGGAGGTCTCACTGCAAGACATAGTGACGCAGTGGCAGCATCAGAAACACACTCATGCACTTGCAGCAGGTGCCCAAGCCTGCGCGCTACATCTGAACCGCTTTAGGCTAGTGCAAGGCACTGCCACGAAAGTCCTCTACCCTGCCTTGACTCCACATGAAATCATGCTTCCAATGTGGTGTGGTACCGAAGTGGTTCAAACTAGTTTCCGCCTTCAAGCCATGGTTGTTCATTTAGGTGAGTCGATGCATACAGGGCACTATCGCTCTGTCCTGGTGAGGGGTGACAGACGATGGTACTACACGAATGACAATGCTGAAGCTGTGCTCGTCTGCAGAGAAGTTGACTTCCAGGAGATCGCTCACAATGTTTACATCGTCTTTTATGCTCGCATGTGATTCGTGCCTTCGCGATATGCTCTGGATTGTGGTGCTACCACGCCGGGCATCTAATCTTCATCAGGATGGGATTGCGGTGTACCCGCGCCTGTCCTAAACTTTTTGAATACACTTTTCACGCGCCTCTCTTTCGAGGGCTTTTCTGTAGGTTGCTTAATGGCTCTTCGGAGCGGACCTGCAGTGTTGCTGGCACTAGGCCAGGTGGTAGTCACCAGGAACCTGTCCTGCTAACAGGTCGCTTAGCACTGCTCTTTGTCTCTACGATGGGACTAGTCGCACCGAGTGCTGCGCTTGAAGTGAAGTGAAGTGAAGTTCATATACAAACATACGTTCTTGTGCGGTAATTCCCTATGATGCAAGATTTCTTTTGACTTGCAATTGCTGCAAGTTTTGTGTATGCAAACGTGAGTATATATTCACAAAGTTTTCTGCTTGTATCCAAAAACTTTGACAAGTGGACGGGTCCTTCTCCTTCCGCAACTGAACTGCTTTCCCTGTCACGAACGGCACGAATTTGGGATCCCACTTGTCTATCTGAGCGAACAGCATGTTGTCCACTTCTTTGGTCTTCACGAGCCATTTGCTTCCGTCCTTGAGCATGCCACCTGAGATAGCCCAGACTTTCTCCATCTGCACGGGCTTCGGCATTCCTCCTATATGATCGACTGTGGTGCCGTCTTTCTTTGACGCTGAGCCTTCCAAACCCTGGCACATGCATACTCCAACGATCAAGGCTCAGGCGCACCGTGTGCTTTGCAACGGCTGCAACATGTGCACGTGCAAGCGGTTTTTTCCGAAATCGAGGACGAAGCTATGGGAGCTGCACTTTCTGCGAGAAGAGTGTCGCAGGCGGGACTAGTACACATCCCTGCCCACGGCCAGGCGAGCCCACATGCCCTGCCTGACTTGAAAATCCTGCGTCTCTGTGCGACGCAATGAATGACTCGCCTTCTTTCAATCTCTGCGTGCCTATGTATATATGATAGGAATATATATATATATGTATGTTTCACACATGTATAATATGTAAATGTATATACATACATCTTCAGAGGCCGAAGCCCTGCCGGCATGAGACCAAAATTTCCACAGACATGATATCATTAAGAACTTTCATCTGACCCGACACATGTGCACACTTACGCAGCTTTTGGCAGACCGATCATGCGAAGTGCGAGCTGCTTTCAAATGTCGCGAGCGAGAATACATCCCTGCCCGCTGTCAGGCGAGGCCACATGCTCTGCCCGACTGGAAAATACTGATGCTTCTCTGTGCGATGCCTTTTCTGACTATATGTATATATATATACACTATATATTTAGACGTTACATATACATCTTTATAAGGCCGTGCACAGGGATCAGTGCGGATTTGAACATGTGAACTCAAGCTGTCCGGGTTTTCTTGGCCGCAGGCAACAAAGGTTCGGGTCTCGGAGTTGTGGAAGGCTTCCACAGCACCAAGCTGTCTCCCTCGTTGATCACTTTGGTGCTCTTGGCCATTGGGATGTTCCACACGGCATCGCTGTCCATTTTGAACTTTTTGCTCGTGTGGTTCCGAGGAAACAATTCAAGATTGCACTCTGCTGAAACCGTCGACGTCCTCATGCACCAGAACGGGTGAAGTACTGGCTTCGATGCCTGCAGGGGCTGCAAGCAGCTGCTGAGCGCAATTTCGTACGTCTCCCCCTCGATGTCGACGAGACCTGCCACGACGGCGCCGCTGCTTGCAGAGCCGGGTCGTTTCAAGTCGATCTTGTGGGTGCTGGGGATCAGCACCAGCTCACCCTTTTCGAACCTCTTTGTTGCCTGCACATTCTTGCTAGGCTTGAGGTAAAGCTCGAGGTTGCCATAGTGGGCGGCCCCCGTGGCCTCCTGTGCGGTCATTCGATCCAGGATGCGGGCCTTGCACTGTGCGATTTGAAAGTCCACAGAATTCACTGGTAGCGAGCCAACGAACTCCACGGCAACCGATTCCCCTTTGAAGTTGACTTGCCGCCACTCCCCTTTCAAAAAGCTCTCGGCCGACACCTTCACATCATGCCCTTCCACGTCAAGTGTCACTTCGGAGGCAGTCATCCCTTTAATCTTGCCGGTGGAACTATCAGTTTTCCTGAGCACATGCATCCCAACTTCGTAGCCGGCAGACTTCAGCCGGCTGGCGTCTTTGTGTTGGCCTTGATCGTCGAGCTCATGCCTCAACAGTGTATATACGTCTACATATAAGCATGTAGACATATATAACCATATATACCTACATAAACATGTATATATATATATGTATATATATATATATACATGTATTCAAACGCACATACAAAATATGTGTACTCATATATATATATATATATATATATATATATATAAAGCTTATAATTCCCTCGATTTACACATAGATGTAGCATAGCTAAAAAACCGTAATGTGACTAAGACATGCATGTAAGCTGCAGCATGCTTGCATCCTCTTTGGCCGGCTTGTTCGGTGACTTCAAAGTAGAAGCCCCTGAGGAAGTGCTTGCGAACGGGTTCGGGATGCGGAGTTGGGCTGCCTGGTTGATTTCCTCGACACATTGCTGCGCTGCCTTCTGGATGTTCTCATGCTTTTTGTATTTTTTCTTGTCGAGCAAAACTGCGATGAGATTCATCTGGAGGTAGCCTAGCGCCTTGAGGGAGACAGCCACATTGACCGCATGTGTACTGCAAAGCGCCTTGCAGTCTTCAAACACTCGGGTGGCTTCGTCACGCTTGCTAGCTATGCCCACTGACAACAGCTTCTTCACATCACTCACGGTCAGGGCCCGTGCATCCTCGGCACCATAAGCAAAATGTAACATCATATGCCTGATCAATGCTCCGGGATCTCGGGACTTCATCTCCGTGTTGAGTGCCTCGAAGATGTCCGAACCCAGCATGCGGCTTTGGAAGCCGTGGGCTCGAACAAACTTTTCGGTTTCCTGCAATAGGTGTGCAGTCTGTCCTCCGGAATAGCGGAGGGTAAAAACGAAAAGGGCGGGCACGGTTGAGGCACTTCGGGGCTTCGTGCGTAGCACGGCGTCCTTTATGTCAACGTAGTTGACATTGGTTTTCCCACGGCTCATCTGCAGTGCGACTTCTTGGTGAATCTTGCGGCAAAGCTGTAATTCCGATTCTTGTCTTGCCACATGCCCAGTGGCATTGGCAGCAGCCTGTGCAAGCTGGCAAAAGTTTGGGAACCGCTCCGGCACTTGGTGGGAGACAATCCTCCACGTAGCACCTTCGACGCAGGCTCGATGGAAGTCGGGATCGGCCGTCTGCAGCGAGCTCAGGCTCAGCCGCCCGTTCTCGGCGACTTGCGCACATTGACTTGGTGTCTTCGCCAGGAAGCATCTGAGAACTTGATTTGTGTGGGACCCTGCCAGGGTTGCGAACTTCAGTTGGAGCTCCGATGTCCAGGGGGGGACTTGCCCTTCGGAGTTGTGGGCCAACTCTTGATTCCAGGCAAACACCCGGGACCTTTCCTTCTCCGAAACTTCAACGCATAAGCCGCGAAATTCGGCAGGGCTCCACCCCAGATGCACCAGGTCCGCCAGCAGCTCATGCACGTGCTTTGCGGAGACGCCGCAGCCGTCCCTATTGCTTGGATGCACGCCTATGAAGCTGGACACCACTTTCTGCTGGTAGAGCAACCCGTGTTCTGCTAAGAGCCCGTACACCTGCTCCATCGACCGAACAAGCGAGCCGCCGCTGGCTGCTACCAGCAACTTCTCCACTTTGGTCGCCAACTCCGTTGTCAACGCCATCTGGAAGGATCTATCACACAGGTGAGTTGTCCAAGGCTTGGAAGGCAATCTTCGCGAGTACATGCATGCACATGCACCCTGCGAAGCATCGCTGCGAGACGTGGCTCTGCAGCGATCAATGCGTGTCATGAGCACCAAGACTGCAAGCATTGCAAAGATGCAAAATCAAGCATTTTGGCACGTGAGATCGCGCTTCTGATCACAAAATGGGTTTCTTTAAAAACGCGTCGACATCAACCATATAGAACTCGGTATAACAATGCAACTATACAAGAACATGGATGTATACGGGATGTCCGGAAACACGTATTTAATCATGATCCTTATATTGCGCCGGCGCTGTAAGCAAGACTGAAACCTGCAGCTTCAAGAACTGCATGGCAAAAAGAACTTGCGAAGGGAAACTTTGGAAAACCTGGTCTTCTTAACCAGTCGCATGCGCGGCTTGAGGCCGGCAAGGACTCGTGGGCCCCAGAGGAACCCTATCTCGCAGCTCATGAGCTCCCCGGTTACTGAGCTGACCAGGCGTACGTGCTGCTGAGGACTGATGAGTTTCTCATCGACGCAGCGCCGCTTGATCCTCATTCCCAAGACGTTCATGGACAAGTTCTCCTTGTCGGTCACAAAGAGATGAAAGAGAAGCCGCCCCGAGACGCAGGAACGATAGTCGAACCTGCAGATGACTTCAGCTGCATATGTGTATATTTCTGCGTTTATAAATCTGGTGCTTCTTTGTTGTGTGTGTTTTCGTGTGTATATATGTATACAAAAACACACGAAAAAATTAGCTCATCTGAGTCACTTCAAGTATTGCTCCGTCGTCATGTGGTCGGCGTGCACGCTCAGTACAAGGTCCGGGCCGATTGGCCGGACCAAAGCTCGCACATAAGACCAAGACTCAACGTTCCACATCCCTTCGGACTGGAAAAGCTTGATCCCGGAATCATACTCTGCAACCTTCTGAAATGTTCGATTGTCCGGCAGAAGGGTCAATGAAGTGCTCTCTTCATGAATGTCTTTCTGCTGGGCTGTGGTAAGTGGACACCATCGGGGGTTCGCGGGAAGGCCCTTGCCGTCGTCCCACTTCCAAAACCGATCCACAAAAGCCACCTCCAATGCGGGAAGCATGTCTGAGATCTTGCAAGGTTCTGTGCTACACAAACTGCTGCGAACCGGAGTCCTGCAGCAAGCAACAGCGAACATTCATCTGTCCTGCTGCTGAAATGCATGCATGCCATATAAACATCTTTGCCTTTTTTATACTCTGCGTGGATGCATGAAAACATATGCTCTGGACACTTTGGCCAGCAGTCACATACGAAAAAGTGTTCCGTCAGGCGTTTCCGCTCAAACCATGTAGCGGAAGTGGCTGTCGTGACACGCAGCCTTTACGGTGCAGCGAACTTGCACGCGTCCTGCTGCAGCCCGGCGGCGAACATGTGTCTGGAAAGTTCTGCCGCCGACTCGAGGTCAAATGCCCAAGCATGCAATATGCATGAAGACTGTTTCTATGTGTATGTACTGTCCTGCCATAGACCGCAGTTCCCCCTAAACCCAATATTATATACCCGATATAGATATATACATGTGGTTATAGCCTTGCAACCGAAAATCTCTAACAGACAATGTTAAATGGTGACAACACCGCCCTCCAGACCAACAACCAAGCCCACCAACAAGTTTCAACAACATACCCTATGCCATTATGGACTCTTGAACTCCAAAACAACATGCCGAAGTAAGACACCCAACCCAAGAAACCCTTCTGAATCGCATGTATACGAATTCAAGCCTAAATTTAGAAACGATATGCAAGCATACAGTTTTTGTATACATATATATTATATGCTTGCATAGCGTTTGAAATTGTAGGATTGAATTCATATACAAAACCCGCAAACCTGACAAATCTATATACCCTTATGCCAACCAGCCCTCTACATATACGTCTATAAATGTATGTAAACGCTCGAACAGGCAACGTTAAATCAAAAGTCGCTCGATGCAAGTTTCAGTCTTAAACGGAATGTACAAAGACAATAACACGCTTTTAGCCCCAACCCAAAAACGCTAACCGACCATGTAAAATCGTCATAGCACAACCCTCCTTGGTGCAGAATATGTTAACAGCAACCAAACCTATGCAAGATAGAGCATACGATATGCCACTATATAATGGACTCTTGAACTCAAAAAAAACCTATAACCGACATAAGACAGCCAACCCAAGAAACCGCCTATATAGCGCACTCAAGCCTAAACCCACAAACGCTCCAAAGCAGTGCAACCAATAATAGATATATGAGCCCTTAAAATTATACATAACCCTGAAACCTGACAAATACCTTCATCTCACTCAGGAAGAGCGTAAGGCAGCAATGGCAGGTGATGCTATGATAGTGGGGGGGGACTTGAACTCTGTAGTTTCGCGGACCCTTGACACCTTCGCGGGAAGCTACATTGATCGTGCTGAATGTGTTGCGCGACACCTGGCCTCCATGGGTCTTACAGACGTGTTCCGTGCGTTTCATCAGGATACCCGGGCCTTCACCTTTTATTCTTCGGCTTCCGCCAGTCGACTTGATAGCATCTGGTATTTGCCTACCCCGGCCTGGGCTGCTGGTCCTGTGAACTCCACCATCTTATGGCAATGGTGCTATCGTACTGATCATGAACCAGTCTTGGTAGACTTCCGTTTCCAGCTCCCAGCCATCCATTCCTCCCTCCCCATCCCCTTCCCAAAATGGAAGGTACTCACTACGATGTTGTGCTCACCGGATTCGGCTCGTGCGCGTCAGCAGGTCCAATGCCAGCTCGAGCATCACGTGGAAAGCATACAAGCCATTTCTGACCGCATCTCGGAAGCTGAGGCGCTCCTTGATGCCATGCCTCAACCTCCATGCGAGGGTGTAATCGGGTTGTGGAATGAAATGCTTCCCTCGACCACTCAGACTGCTACACGTCTTAGGGCTGTAGTTGACAGCAGCTTTGATGAACTGCAGACTATTCTTTTGTCTTGCTTGCCTGATGTGGTGGCGGGCACTTCGCGTAGGACGGCGAAGGCGTCCGAAGCCTGGCACCAATGCATTCTAGAGCTTAGGAGCATTCGGAGATACCTGCAGGACTTTGTGGTCAATCCGAACAAGCCGCTCGAAGTCGGCAAAATCTCCCTGCAACAGGCTTCTTCACTGGCGTCCAAGGCCATTGCGCTTATGCGCCTAGGGCAAACCAGATCTGAGCATGCTGGGGCCTCGGTGCCCTGGGACTCTTTCCACACCGACCTTGAGGAGTGGGTAGGCACACTGGGAGTTCCTGAGTTTTGTCGAATGCAGTGTGCAGATGTGTTGCTTGGTTCCCAGCGTTTCCGTTCCTCCCGTTCCTCCACTTGTGGTCCCAACTCACTTGGGCTCCCGCTCCGTTGGCCCGTCAATCCTTGCACGATGGACAGGCGGCACGCCCCAACCCTTATCTTGAAAGCTACTGAGTGGCTCGACTGTGTTCAACAACAGTACTCCAGCTGCACTGGCAAACAGTCGAGAAGTTACCTACAGGAGCGCCGGCACCGACTACGCGCTGGGGATGTGAAAGGGTGGGCGAAATGGATGCGGCCGCTCCCACATCCTCGTTCTGAGTATCTTCCTGACTGGTGTGTACGGGATGACGGGGTTGCTTGTAGACCCACTACAGTTTCCGAGGTACTTCGGGGTGCGGAGCAGGAATGGGGGGCGTTGCTCAAGGAACCCGCTGAATCCTGGAGCCATAATCTCATCTGTCACTACCAGGACTGTGCGGGCCGAAAACGCGGGATGCTGGACTTTGTGGCTGTCATGTCGTCGCAGAACAACGAGGGTCTTCGACGTGTGGGTCGAGCCTTGCTTAGTCCAGGGCCCTGGCTTTTGCTGCCTTGGCATCGCGATCAACTCCGGATTTGGTCTGAACACTGTGTTGTTGTTGCCGGTTGGGTCTTGCATTGGGAGGGGTGGGTTGTCGCCAGGCGCCTTGTAGTGGTGACCGGCATGTCCTGGCACTGGTTAATGGAGGACCCTCCTATTGGTGGTCGGCTGACAGATGGCACTGCTCCTCAGGGGGTTTTTTGTTGCTACGGGTATTTGAGCCCCTTAGCGACACTCTCACTTCCTCTAGTTCTGAGGCTGAGCGTCAGCGCATCCTCAGCAAGCACCGTCACTCGTGTCCGGGGCCGTCGGGATGGAAAATGGCTTTTCTGGAGTTTTACCCAGAACATGTGCAACAACTGTATTGGCGTAGTATTGATTTCCAAAGGAGGTCAGGTATAGTTGCATCTGCTCTGAAAGAAGCGTTGCAGGTTCACCTTTCTAAGGCCTCCGGCGGTTGGCGGCCGCTATCTCTAATGGAGGAGGGGTTCAAAGCCATTGAGGGCCCCCTCAACCAGAGGCTGGCGGCATCAGTCCAGCAGGACAAGGATGGCCAGTTGTACAGCTTGCTCAACATGGGCTATGCCCCGGGCTACCCGGCGGCCCCGCATGTTCTGTATCTGGATGCTCTGTTGCTTGAGGACGCGGCCAGGCACAGGAGACCCATCTCAAGGGTGGCTGTGGATTACGAAAAATTTTTTAACACTTTGCAGCTGGTGGAGCTTGATGCTGTCCAGCACTGTCGCGGCATTCCGGATGCCGCGCGTGCGGTGTATCAGGACTTGTTTGGAGCCTGTGCAGTCAGATTGGCAACACGCGTGGGTGTCACATCGCCTGTGTCGGTCTCTAGGGGGGTCCCCCAGGGGTCGGTCTCCTCACCCAGCTTGTCACGTGGCGCCCAAGAGCCAATGCTCAGATTGCGTGAGAACAGCTTCCAGGGCTACCGAACCAGTGGAGGCAGACTGGTGCAGACCTGTGGGTTTGTGGACGACTTGGAGCACTACGGCTCCGGCGCTTGTGACCTTACGGGTATTGCTGATTCTCTTGCATTGGGTAGTGCTAGTTCTGGCGTTGGTTTCTCGTGGAAAAAATGTAGAGCTTTCGCGA